ATACGGTCCAGAGTTGCACAAACTTTGAGCTTTATATATAGATAGATTCTACTTTCAAGCGTTTATTGCAAGAAACAACATCGAAATGCGAAAAATTGATTTTAATTTATATCCATGCTTTTTCTGTGGACAGCGGATGCATTTCGTGATCACTGCTCGTCCTCTTCGGTTCATCCTTGCCCTTCATCTGATAGTATTTAGAGACAATTTTCTTCCAGTCGACTACATTCTCGATACTCCAGTCCGTGATCTGCTCCAGCTCTGCACCTTCTCCTCGTACACCTGCAACAATGTCAAATTGATCACTGTACTGACTGCTACTCCGTTGGCTGCTAGTTTTACAAATTTTTTTCACTTTTCATTGATCAAGGCTATAACCAGGTGCTAGTTGATATAGATAGCTCGAAGGAATTTTTACCATCTGTTTACCTTCTCCATCTTCGCGTACGGTAACACTGACTCCTGCTTGACAACCATTACCCATCAATTGCACCACCTTAGTAAATAGTAAGTGTGAAGTTGAGGAGAGTAGGGATTGTCACAGAAGTTACTTCAGTGCTATCTGCAGACTTGTGCGCAAGAAGTCCAAATTTCTTAGCAACCTGTAAGTGATCGCTCTGTGCAAAAAACTTGTGTTTAATGCAGAACCAGTGAGTTCTCGAGATTGGGAAAACATGCCAAGTTTTTACTTCATGAACTTCTTGGCTATATTGGGACGACAATTTAAGTCCCATTTCTGAAGCAATTTTCGGGAAGGTTGCCAATGAATATCCAGAAGGCATTCGGTGATAAATCTGTGAAACGAACTGTCAAACAATTACATTATTGAGTCATCCAGGACAACTACACGATAAACATCACTTCCCAAAAAATGCTAGAAACTGTCAAATGCCCAGCCAGTTTTTATAGGGGATTTCCCTAAGACAGCTTATACGAAGACAAGAAATAGCAGAGAGTCTAGCTTAATATAAATTACATAATGATTTAGGTAGATCCGTAGTTCAAACCGCTTACTTCTAGTTATATACCTGAACTTCTTTACAAACAAAATCAAGCCAAGAAAAATTCATGTCAGGCGCAACTACACTTTGAATGGCAAGTTCATTCGTTAAGCATGCGAATGCCTTGCTAAGTCTGCGGTAATCTTATATATAAAGCTGAATGTCTGTTTGTAT